TTCCAAACTTTCAACTCAAATCCCAAATCCAAATCCAGTTCTCCAAATTCCAAACCTATTGCTGCTACTATATGCCAGATAACACGTATTTATACGTATCTGATTGACGACTAGCTTTAATCGAAAGTTCTCTCTCGTGATCGGGAGAGGTAATTAACTATAGGGGCTTGCGCCTATAGGAAACCAGAACTCAGATCATAAAGTCCTCGCAAATGAGGGCGAAATCTCTGGGTAGTGTCTTATCTACAAACCCATCTGCCTTCCAAAATTTACCTCAGAACTTAGTTCGTTAAAACTCCCTCGCCGAATAAGAAAAGCGAGTGGAGGCCGAGGCCGAATTTTCGGAGCCCACAATCATGTACAGAGGGGAATAAATAAGTGTTGATTAAATGGAGGGGCCTTCTAAACTTTGGCGCCACTTGGAAATCGTATGAGAGTGTGAAGCATCAGTTTCCTTCATTTCACCTTAAGGACAAGGTGAGTCTTTTGGAGGGGGGTAATGTTTGGCAGGCCCGAGGGTCCATCCTGGACTGGTTCAAGTCTACAAACGGCAGGCCAAGGGGTGGAGCGGAACCAGGGAAAGAGAGAGAGAGAGAGGTAGCGGCTAATGTGATGGGGCCCACACACTAATTAGTGTTGTATTTGAGGAAAATTTGAAATTACAGGTTGTTTAGGGATTTAGTAATTGTCCTTTTGCTTTAATTATTATCTTCTTGCTAGGGTTAGGGTTATCTTGAATTTGAGATCTAGGTTTTGCTTTTGGTTTCTAAGCTTTGGCTAGAGATTTAGAGAGTTGAATCTTCCTCTCGAATTGAAGATTTTTGTATCGGTTTGCTGCTTTCTGCTTCTATTGTTGAAATTAAAGTGATTATTCCTTTTATTTCTCTACAAAGCTTGAAAAATCTGCACCGTTTTGCTAAATTTCTCAAGTTTCTATACTATTGGTGGTTGTTTTCTATCAAAATAGCAAGCATACGTAGAGGGGAGATAGGGACAAAGAGGTGCTAATCAAGTGGAAGAACATGCAAGAGTATGATGCCACTTGGGAATCATACGAGACAATCAGGATACAGTTCCCAACCTTCCACCTTAAGGAGAATGTGCATTTTTGGGAGGGGAGTATTGTTATGACCAGTCCAGTTGGACTAATGTCCTGCCTGCTAGGCAGGGGGCGGAAGGGCTGAAATTTTAGCCCCCTTGTGGGGCCTAATAAACCAATTATTCCATATGTTAGAAGGAGGATTAAAGAATGAATTAATAAAGGGAATTTGAATTCAAAAGAGGGAGGGAATTAATTAGGCAAGTGAGATCTTTTAGGGCTAAATTGTAGGGAAGAGTAGGGGCTTATATGGGGATTATTATTTTGTATTAGGATTATATTTCTTTTAAGTTTTCTGTTGTAGTTTCATCTATGAGGGTTTTCTAGTGATGTTTAGGTTGATTGAGAGAGACGATCTACCTCTCTAATTGTAGATCTATTGTATCTTTTGTTTCTTGTTGAGTTATTAATCAAAATTAGCCACTATTTCCTCCAAATTTTACTGTTTTCTATCGTTTTATGTGGATTTTCTGTTGTGATTTGCTAAAGTTGAGTCCAATGCGTATCACAATAGTCACTTCAGCTCTTACACATGGCATTCAGTGCATAATAGGAAGAGTTTGTATAAACATGTATATGATACTCAACATATGTCAGGATAGTTATAGAAATATGAAATTGAATATAAAGTAATATAACATGAATAATTTAGTATACAAATATAGCACATATTTCAAAACCTCCTTATACCATCACTTCTACTTATAACTCTCTTGATTGTACCAAATTTCTCTTGTAAGTCTACATCCACTTAGACTTCCACGTGATTATCTCATATCTATATAAAATAGATAGAGGAATTGTATAGCTCAATTTTAATTATAACTTTATTTTCATGTATACCTAATAGATGGAGTTATATATGTACACAAGCCCTTATAACTCCACATATATTGCACAATAAAACAACCACTACATAACATTCATATCGCCCCATTTCTCACCCTGCACATGTCCACCACATAATCATCAACATTAACATATCATCACATGGAACATGTATGAACCTCACATATCTTGTACTTTCTACATGTGTATTCGAAGATATGAAACATTTGTTACACATATTCTGTACCTTTCAACATGATAAATGGGAACAAATAACATATATAAACATAACATGTTGCATTTTTAACACATGAACTTGAACAGTTTTAGGCTTTCAACATGTGTAAACTATATATATCATTTCTCAAATGATACAAATTTGGCACATGTATAACAAATTTTAGGGGTAGTTTAGAACATAGTTTATGCTCAAAATCAACAATTGCCAAACATTAAACCCTTCACATATGACATTCACAACAACATTTTAAAGTTTCTATTTTTTTGTTATTAAGCCCAACAATATCCATATTTTGTGTAGAGCATAAATATGAAACTATCAGTTGGGTCATTAACTTTTTAGTATTAGTGCGTTCAGAATATATTATTCTGCAACATACTAAAATCTTACGGTGAAAAGTGGTTCTATCTTTTTAAAATCATTAAAAATTCTTCAGCTATCATTTTAACCGGGGAAATTGAAATCTGAACTAGGTGTGGATAGCCTACCTTGAGTCGGATAAGTTCTTCAACTAGCTTGTTGGTTGAAATTTACCCATGGACCTTCAAATTTTCCCTTCTCCTTCTTCCCCTCCTTTCTCCATCTCTCTCTTCAATTTCAGTTAGAGATAAGACATGATAATGCTGAGTTAAAACTTGCATACTTATTCAACCCAACACCGCAGCGCTACCCCATTGCGCTCCCAATCGATTTTAGCCAGAGATAAGAAATAATAAGGCTGAGCTAAACTTGCATACTTATTCGACCCAATGTTGTAGCATTACCCTTTACAGCTGCGCTATGCTCCCACCCGACCTGTAGTGCCACGGTGCTCCCATCTACGGTGTCGCAGCACCTTAGGCGCCTGAAATTTTCTTCACCCAAGTAGGAGCACAGTGCAGCAGCTCTTCCAAAGATTTTTCTAAAACTTAAAATTCTCATTCTATCATTATATTTCCAACTTGGATTTCTATTCATCGTATTTACGTTAAATAATTTATAAATAACTATTAAAAAAATCAATAAAATCACTAGAACATGAATTCTTACGGGATTAATTATGGTTTTCATAAGAAATCCCTATTGTTGAACATAGTGTTATTACATCGAAAGCCTCAAATCAAACAGATAAGTAGATGATCGACGATGATGACCTAGATAAAAAATTGCCTGAAAATTGCTTGAGATGCTGTGAGCAATACATGGCTATGTGCCTGTTATGCTCTAGTGCATCATGTTATGTGAGTTTATGCATTTCTTCTTTTACTTACAAATTACATTTAACAAAATAACTCTTGAATTCATTACTTGATCAAGCAATAAACAAACTCTGATATGCATAATGTTTTGAACCTGAAGATGGAGATGATGGAATGAAAGCCGGTAATTGCTCAAACCGTGCTGAATCCAATCCTCTCACCGACACAAGTAAATCTCTTGTTCTGGTGAATTATTTCCCCACCATACCGATTGAAGCAACAACATGTAGGCACAATTCTGAAGAACTCATTAACATGCTTGATACTTGCTATGGGGCAGCAAGCAATCGGTGGGCAAACTTTGTTGCTGTCGATTTCTACAAGGTTTGCATAAAACCACATATGATCATTCACATTGTTAAGCTCTGGAGAGGTTTCTTCTTTAAATGTCCATTCTCTGATGTTAATCTCTCCGCCTGCAGAGGAGCAAGGGAGGAGGAGCCTTCCAAGCTACTGACATGCTTAATGGAAGGCTTTTATGTGGATGTGATGATGTTCACGCTTGTGCTGTAAGATCTTCAAGAAACTTCAATCAGTTTATGCCTTATATTTTTCAAGTGAATATTGAAACAAGTTTATAAGATCAATACGTCATATAAAATTTCAAATCATTTTCTAATATTTAGTTTTTCCCTGTTGTCCTATAACGTTATGAACTTCTACTTTTTGCAATAATAGTTGCTGGAAAGGGAAATGGCATTTTGTTTCTCTTCCATGCTGTTATACATCAATAACATTTCTAGGATGAAAAGTTTAATTTATGAGAGAAATGTTTTATATTGACTAGGAATGATTCTACACAAGATGTCTGCAAATGATTTATAGTCGATTAATGGGAAGATCTACTTATCTAGTTTCTCTATAGAAAATGATTTCATAATCCAGAAATTAAACTGCCAAATTCAAATAATGAGTTCATAGAAAGACTAGTCCTCAGATTTTTCTGGCAAAAAACTGACTAAAATTAAGTAGTAAAAAAATTGTTTATGAGCTTCTAAGAAATAGAAAATGGATATCTTTATTGTTGTCAATTCCTTTCCTTGATACAGCCTGGATCTAGCTCTAGAGCATGTACTCCTCCATAAGAAACAAGTGAAGCAAAGCAACTACAGAGAATGGAAGAAAGGCATTTATGATTTCCAAGGAGGAGCATAGAAATCTTGTATTTTTATTTTTTTAAAATGAATTGAAATTCACAACTTGTAATAACAGGCCATCAATCTCCCATACTTTCCCTTCCTTATTTCAACACAAATAGATTGATATCTTCATCAATCTCAATACTATTGATATCGGATTTACATAGTCATTTACCTGAACTTATTTGTGAATGAACAAACACACTTTGCACTATAAATTTTTCCATCAATTTTGTTAATTCATACTTGCTTTTGTGGTGCTGATTTAGGTGTTTTCCTGTGGTCTACATTCCTCTTGACAATAAAAGAAACAAAAGGACATACATGAGGTTGAAAACTTGTTTAAAGAGTAGGAAAAATTCAGCTCCCTTTCTCTTCTTTTAACCAATAATCTTCTGTTTATTTTTTCTGCTGGTCCTTTTTTATCAAACTGGTAGGATTTGATGGAACATTTGAAAATCTTCAGATGTTGGTGATCAATGAAAACTATAAAATAAAAGCATATAACCCATCAATGGACTTCTCACCATTTCAAATTAGACAGCACTAAAGTAGTACCAAGTACTGTTTCCTTATATTTGTAACAAGAAAAAAAAAAGGGGGGGAAGATCTGTTCTTTCAGTGATCAAACTTTGACTTGTTGAGATTTGGGCTTTATTAAATTTTTAATTTGCATGTGATTAGGTAGGTTTTCATGTGCCTTAATTATACATTGAATGATGATATGTTAAATTAAAATACATTGATTATGAAGTTTGAAGTATGACCACTAATTTTTTCTTAGTGAAACTGTAGCAATAATGGCTTTTGAGTGAAATTTTGTCACTAAGTGTGCTTGCTAAGTTTCTTTGACTGGGAGCATCATTAGCTATGCTGATCTCATCAATTTGAAATGATAATGTTAAGCTTCGTTTGGGATGGCTTTCTTACTGCTTCTTATAGCAATTTTTTAGTATAAAAATTAGAATTTTTTACTAAAAAATTGTTTTAAAAAGCAGTAAAAAAACCATTTCTAACGAAGCCTTAATCATATTAATTAATTTCAGCCACACTATTACCAATTCAAGATCATGTGAAGCAGAATCTTAGGTCAAACTGAAACTGGTTTCAGACTCATAAAATCAGGAAAATGTGTTCTACCAACCCTACACTTATAATAATGTCCTAATTAGATTTAGCATCTCTGCTGTACAGCTAGCCAAAATTGTTTCTAATGATCATTAACAAAATAGTTATATGAATTGATTAATGATTAAGTACATTAAGTGTGAAAGATTTGACTAATTAAAAACATTATAGATTCAAATCATGCAATCAAATACATATAAGCTGAATAAAACAAACAATACTGGAAGTCTATTTGTCCAAAATAAAGTTTTGAGAAGCTGTTTCTCAAAGTCATTTTGTGAGAAGTTTCAGAATTTTATATTAGAAGTATTATTTATAAGACAACTCTTTCTTAAACAACTTAACTAATTTATTGATGATGATCCTGTTTTTCTTCAGCATGTTCTGAAACAGACAAAATGAGGTATTTATTTATTTCAGAGATTAAGGTTTCGCTTGGAATGATTTTTTTATTGCTTCTCAAAATAAAATTTTAGTACAAAAATTTTAATTTTTGTACTAAATTTTTGTTTCAAAAAATAATAAAAAATAGTCTGAAACGAAGCCTAAATTTGAAGCTCAAAATGGTCATTCTGTAGAAGCTGATGAATCTTTAGAAATTTTGCTTTGCCCATACTGAGATTTCATTTAAGGCAAAGTAGTCTGTGGTAATTAAATATTCAAGTTTCTCTTAACTCTGTTGAATTTGTTTTTTGTAGTTTTGACTTAGGTTTTATTTGAAACAACTTTTTTACTATTTCTTAAATAATTTTTTAGTACAAAAATACTTCTTAAAGCAGCTTTTTAGTTTAAAAATTTTATTTTACTAAAAACTACTTTAAGTAGTAAGAAAACGTCATTTATTAGATTCGGACACCTGATGTAGCTCTACATCCGGACGCCAATAAAATATCGTCATGTGCTCTTACTCTTTACCGTGCGGCCCGACGTCCCGACCCGGATCGGAACCCAATATTGTTATGTATTAGCTGATTTGTACAGACCAGGGTATTGCTAGGTTCTGCTCGGTATTGCTCAGTAATGAGAAATATCATTCTGTCAAGACCAATACCGAGCAATACCCCGGTTTTGCTAGTTATTGCTCGGTATTGCTAGGTATTACTAGGTATTGATCGGTATTGGTCTTGACAGAGCGGTATTTCTCGTCATTGTCAAGCAATATCTAACAATACACGAATATAGCAATACCGGGCTTTCGTTCCGGGTCAGGTCGTCGGGCCGCGCGGTAAAAAGTAAGAACACGTGACATCATTTTATTAACGTCCGGATGTAGAGTTACGTCAAGTGTCCGGACATAATAAAATTTTCCTAAATGAAGCCTTAGTACAAGCAAATTTGTAGTTAGCATTCATAAGGTTATTAGCAAGTTGATTAAATTGTATTTAGTATGAGTACTTTAGAAAATAGCGTGATTTTGGTAAAATAAAATAAATTTTAATGAATATTTATTTTTTAATAAAATTAATGACTTCACCAATTCTGTTCTTAGAAATTTTGAATCTTAAATTTGTAACAAAATATTTTATTTTAATCGTAAGGTTTTATCCACAGAGATAATATATAATTATATTCTTACAAAGTCTTGTAAAAAAAAATAACGTGATCAAATATATATTAATAAAATGTTAATAACATAATTTAAAAAATTAGGTATATCCTAAAGTTCATAAAACAAAGAAAAAAGAATTTCTGAATTCTTTTATTTATGAATTTATTGTAAAATGTATTCAATCAAATAAATATTTAAAGAATAATTTATATTATCTCACTCATAGTAAAAATTTATTTGATGTGTTGATGTGTATTGTCGGCAAAAAGAGATTTAGTGCAATATTTAATAAAATAAAATTAATAAATTTCTATTTTTTCTCTATTTTAATAGAAATAAATCAATCTTTTCTCGATCTATAAATAAAATAACAAATCTTTTTACAAATCAATCAAATCATAGTAAAAAAGCTTTCATTATTTTTTTTATTCATAATATTAAAACACAGAAAATAAAATTCTTTAAAAAAAATTCAAGCGATAATTCATGAATATTTAGAATTATTATTTTAATTTGAGCCTTAAATTACTTTTCATATCTTTTAATAAAAAATAATATTTTTTTGCTAAAAATATTATTTAAAATAATAAAAATATATATTTATTTATTTTTTAAGTAATTACGGAAAATAAGGCCAAAGCGAGAAGGGACAGCTCGCACACGTGTGGGTGGTAGGACCCACACGTGTCTTTAATTGATAGGATAATATCGATCATTTGTCCTCGCCTTCACCTTACTCCTCCGCCGCGCCTACCCGTTTGAAAATCTTGTACAGGGTTGAAGCACGTTGAGCTTCGCCTTTTTGCTCAAAAGGATCTTCCGATCACGGTCGGACGTACATCTTGATGCAATTTAAGGGTTTTAAATCGTTCCATTTTCTTCTGTTTTGATTGCTTTTGCATAAGATTATTTCACTTCACTCATACTTACAGTGGAAGCCGGATCCTCGCTATAGTGGACCGACGGTTGTGTGGGTCCCAACAAACCAATACCGCTAGTAAAGACTCGAATGGAACGATTTTTTATTTCTTTTTAAAATAATTTTTTAGTTAAAAAATTTATTTATTTTGAATATTTATTACTAAAAAGTCATTTTAAAAAACAGTACAAAAGCTGTCCCAAACGAAGTCTTAATCAGATTTGTGGAATTTCGATAATCTTTATTTTTTAATTAATGATGGATATATATAAATTGGATTACTACTTACAGCTCATTTTGATCTATGGTTGGGCGTTTTGCCACTGCTTTTTCATCTCTTTTAATAAATTTTACATTGGAAGCTGCTTTCTATAGTACTGGCTTTAAAAAAAAGTTGATTTTTTCATAGCTTTTTTACAATTTTTTCATCATGGAACATTCGCAGTTGTAGAGAGACATAGGTTTGCGTCTGAGGTTTGTACGAAGATCCAACACACGAACGTATAAGAGATAGGTGCAATAGTCATAAGTTACACCAATATTTTTACGTGAAAAATCCTGTAAAGGGGGAAAATCATGAGGCTTGGTCCAGTTAGAATGATTCTATTAAAATGATTACACTAGTGTTTGTAGTCAATTACAAATGATGCCCTTTCTCAAGAGAGGGTCTTGGCTAAATGTAACAAATATACATCATATGAGCACATTAGATGGTGGGAGTTTGAACAATCTAGTGATATAAGAGTTTTTCTCATAACATTGTTGGCCTGTTCATTGGTTGGTAGGACCCCAGTCAGAGGTCGGAGTTGCAGTAGTCGGGCAACGAGGGTTGGAGAGAATGTAGTC